TTACTCTTAACCATTGAGTCGCCTCTGCAGCCCCCTTAAAAGAGAAATACAGCTCTGATAAGATGAAAATGAATTGGTTAGGAGCATCTACTGACAAATATATAGATACCTTATAACATCAGATGAGCACTCGAGAGCTAGTAAAATTCTCTAATAATTTTTTTTCTGATAGTCATATACAGAGTCACCATATGATGTCAAAATTTCAGTTAGATGACCAGCTATAAAATCTGCCATGATAGATCTTATGTCATACCTTGTTATCCAAGATGTGCTTGCACAACCAGATTGTGTCAAAGCAGGAAATAGGTAGAGTACATGTAGACAGTCTGACTCTTGTCTGTCACCACTTTTCTTCTTCCAGCAGAACAAACACTTCATTCTGCTTGGACATCAGCAGTAAGTAGTACTATTTTATTTTAAGATGAATTGCCTGATGCCAGTGCATTTATAACTTATCAGTAGTAAAATGTTATAGTTGGTTTTTGCACATCTGGACTATTGACAGTCCCTGCTGATAATTTTATTGAATACATTTTTTAATTTAATCTCTAAAGCTAAGTATACACAATTTAAGGTTATTTTTAATCTGGAAATGCTTTTTTACAGAAATGTGAGAATGAATTTCTTTATTCTAAAATATTCTAAAATATCTGTGACTTTCTAGAGTATTTATATTAGAGGTACTTTTATTAGAACTACGATTTAGAGGTACAGGCATTTTTCTGTGCACTAATGCAAATATTATTAGATTATGGATGAGAAGGTAGCCTTGTTAATGATTTTAAATTGTCCAACTCAACCTTATAGCTATGAATGTGAAATAAATGTGTTATTGGTGATCATCAGAATATATAACTGGTCCATAAAATACACTTAAGACAAGCAGAAAATAAAACATTTCATTTTTCTGATTATAGGTGAATATATTCAGGTAGCTTGTAGGTTCTTTACATGTATAAATGGTGTATATACCTTATATGACAAAGCAATTTTCCTCATAAATACTTGGGGCAGACAGGAAATGACTGGAGAATGTTAGGATATTATGATACTACTTAATATTATTTAAAAGGGAATTATATGACTTTGGGGGAAGATTGTAATTCCAAAGGATATTTATTCATACTTTTCTTCATGTGTTTAAATGATATACTCGACTAGTCAACCTCTGAACCTACAGAGTCTGCCAATCCAGCTAAACTTGTGATGTTGGATTCAAAAGCAGTCAAAGTTATGATAAGTGTCAATCTCAAGAGCTATTTGGTAATAGACTGTTATGTGGTAAATCTCAATCCTTGAGGTGAGACAGCTCATTTTACAAAAGACAGAGGTCATTTGCTTAAGTCAATGTCAGAAATTTCAAGTATTGTAAATCAGGTACAGCTCAGAATTCCAGTGCCACTGCTTAGCAAATTCAAGGAAGCAGGCATATTCATATTCACTCTTGGAAAATGAAAGAGAGAGAGAGAGAGAGAGAGAGAGAGAGAGAGAGAGATAGATTGCTTTTCAGGAATTGACAAGGCTGTTTTTCTTACAGGATCCTTGTCCAGATTGTGGTCATAATGACTTCTAGCTGTTCTGTAGAATTTATGTTCTGTGCTGACTGATTCATAGCTCAGAGAAACATGACAAAGCAAACTGAGTGATGATTTAATATGACATTGGAATTTAGAAAATATTACAGTAGATACTCAGGAGAATGTGACTAGCTATCATGTGATTCTTCCAGTAATGCACTCACTCCAGGCACCTCTGCTGGGGTTTGATCGACATATTTCCTTGTCTACATAATCTTCTAAATCACTGAAGCCTCTGGCTC